GATTGCAACTCTATACATTGCACTTGACAATTCTCAGGTAATATGTCAGATGAAAAAGGAGTTGTAAATATTTTTTAAAAGGGGGGGGGAGAGGGGCTGGTGCAATCATGAAAGCTATTATTAAATCCCTTTATCAAAACGGAAAGCACAACTGCATATTTTTCACTGTTCACAGAACTGTGTTTACCCAGTGTATCACAATGCATATGATTATTTGCTTACCCTGAGTTAGCATTGCACTTTGTCCTCCCCATGTCCCATTTTCAGCCCAGACTGTGCCGACTGCACAATGAAGTCTGGTTGCTGTTGAATGATGAGGGCTGGATCACTTAGCAGGGCAGAACTGCCACCATGATGGTGCAGGACAGGGAAGAGCTGCAGGATGGGCTGGGCTGTGCCTCATTCAGCATGTGGGATGTGTGTTGGACATACCTGCTGTAGTTACAGAAATAAGAAGTTCACTCTTTGACAACAAAAAAAAGTCTTCTGTGCTTCGCAACTTGCTTCCAAATCAATACTCAGCTCTAAAACAGCAAGGAGAGATCATCAGAGCAAATTAAGTCTGCACACACATTTGGAGCCTGGATATGGACTCACAATGGGAATTACAGACCTGGAAGACTTAGCATCAAGGAACACAGAAGGATATTTTTAATACCGTCTGACAGAAACAAGAAAAAAAAGGAATAGTTTATTGAGGATATTCCAGAGCATAACTGATCTAAGAGACATTAAAACACAAAATGAGATGGTGAACTCAGTGCTAGGTTGCACTGCACAGGTTGTGGGAATTGTGGGGATTGTCCTCAGAGCCAGATAAACCTGCCAGGTGGGCTTCACCCTAGAGGGACCATGGCAAGTCCAGAGAGAAGTGTGGCGGACTGAAATAAAGACATGGTCATGGGAGATAAACATAGATAAACAGGTCTGAAAGTATAACATTTAAACATTTTCCAAGAATCATAGAAATGTTTCAGTTGGAAGAGACCTTTAAAGGTCATCAAGTTCAACTTCCCTGCACTGAACAGGGACACCTACAGATAGATCAGGTTGCTCAGAGCCATGTTCAGTCTGACCTAGAATGCTACAGGCACAGGGCATCAATCACCTCTCTGGGCAATATTTTTCAGGGCTTCACTACCCTTACTGTAAAAAACTTTCTCATTATACCCAGCATCAGTCTCCCCTCTTTTAGTTTGAGATCATTTCCCCTTTTCCTATCATAACAGGTCCTGCTGAAGAATGTCCCCTTCCTTCTTACAGTCCTCCTTTAGATACTGAAAGGCTGCTTAAGGTTCACCTTTGAGCCTTCTCTTGTGAAGGCTGAACAGCCCCAGGTCTCTTAGACCATCTTTGTAGGAGAGGTGTTCCATCCCTTGGACCACTTTTGTGGCCCTCTTCTGGACACACTCCAACAAGCCCATGTCTCTCCTGCACAGAGGACTCCACGTCTGTATGCACTACTCCATCTGAGGCCTCACCAGTGGAGAGCAGAGGCACAGCATCACCGTCCTTGCCCTGCTGGCCACGCTTCTTTTGACGCAGCCCAGGATAGAGTTGGCTTTCTGGCTGCGATAGCACATTGCTGGCCCGTCTCCAGTTTCCATCCACCAGTAGCTTGAAGTCCTTTTCATCAGGGCTGTGCTCCAATTCTTACATCCCTCAGTTTGTACGGGCAGTGGAAGTTGCCAGGACCCAGGAGCAAGACCTTGCATTTGGCTTTGTTAAACCTCAAGAGGTCCTCCAGGGCCCACTGCATGAGCCTGTCCAGGTCTGCCTGAACAGTGCCTGCCCCTCAGGTGTGCCAAGCGCAGCCCACAGCTTGGTGTCCTCAGCCAACTAGCTGAGGGTGCACTCGGTCCCTCTGTCGATGTCACCGATGAAGATGTTTGGCTGCATCAGACCCCGTACAGACCCCTGAGGGACACCACTTGTCACCGACCTCCATCTGGCCATTGTGCCATTGACCGCCGATCTCTGGGCATAGTCTTGCAACCACTTCCTTGTCCTTCAAACAGTCCACCCATCAAATCCACGCCGTGGAGAGATGGATATTACGGAGGATCGTATCAAAAGCCTTACTGAAGTCCAGACAGACGATATCAGTGGCTCTTCCCTCGTCCATTGGTCGAGGTTACAACATCCAGTTACAACATCGCGGCAGGTCACCAAGCCGTACCCGCAGCGTCCGCACAGCGCCTCTTTCACTCCCCCTGCTGCGGCCCCAGTCCCCCGGCCGCGGCCCCGCCCTCTGGGCGGAGGGGAGGAGCCCGCCCCGCCGCTCACCTCCCGGCCCCGCCACGCGTTAGGGCGCCCCCTGCCGGGGCCGATGGATGCGACTGCGGCGCATGCGCAGCTCGGCGCGGTGTGCCTCCCTTCCGGCCGCCATCTCGCTCCCGGCCGCGTGCTGTGCCCGGACCCGCGCCCCGCCCGCTCCGATCCCGCCGCTCCGACAGTGCTACGCCCGCCCCGGGAAGGTAACGGGGGGCGGTCGGGAGCTGCGCAGGGGGCTGCCCTCCTGCTGCGGGTAGCGGGCCGGCTGGCTGAAGGCGGGGCGGACGGGGCGGACGGGGCGGACGGGCGGGTTGACCCCTCTCCCCGACACGGCGGCGGAGCCTGCGGTGAGAGCTCCGAGCCCCGCTTCACCGAGCTCTCGTTGCTCCCGCAGATGAAAGAAACCATCATGAACCAGGAGAAGCTCGCCAAGCTGCAAGCCCAAGTGCGCATCGGCGGCAAGGTGGGTCGGCGCCGGGGGGGCAGGGCAGGGCAGGGGCTGGCACAGCCCTCCTGCTGCTGCGGGGCAGGGGATCCCGCTGCCCTGCCGGAGGGGAACGCCGATTGCTCGGCGGATTCGGAGGCTTTGTTTGGCGTTTGCCGGAGATCGGGGCGGTCTGGAGTCGGGGTGAAATGAGGAGCTGCGGGCCGAGCGGCTCCGCGTGTGCGTTGTGTGGGGGTTCCCGGAGGGCGGCTGTGTTGTTAACGGCGCGCCCGTGGCTGAGGTGTGCGTGTGCTGTGTGTTCGGCTGCGGGTCGGTGGCGGCGGGGCGTGCGTCCAGCCTGCCGCGCTCTCACGGCTGTGGTCCGCTCGTCCCGCGGGAGCGGCGTGCGGAGCTTAGGGCGTGCCGGGCGCGTTGTCGTTCGTTGTTCAGGCCGGCCTGTGAAATCATTGGAAGGTGTGAGCGGGGCTCGTTGTTTTGTTTTACGGCTGGAATCGGTTGCTAGAACTCCTCGCAACAGAATTGCGGCGTGAGCGGAGGTGGCTGAATGCCGTGGGTGTGGAGGAGGCAAAAGTTACTTCTTGTTCGAAAGGGCTGCGCGCTGCCTCTGCTGGTGGGCTTTCGCCGCGCTGCACGGCTGGAGACCTGCAGAATCACTGAAACGTGCTGTGATCCCTTCTGCGGAGCTTATGGCACTCGTGTGTGCCATCAGTGTGGCTGAATGCCACTTACTCCTAGCCGTTTTAGAGGCCTGGTAGGTGAATGTGTATTTGAATGTAGTGAGTTGAGGGTTACTGTACTCCTTTTTTAATACACAGGTGGCAGAGGTACATGAACAACGTGTCTTGGCATGATCGTGGCAGAACTTGCTTACTAAAGACCTGCTTAAATCTGTGGAGATGAAAGCAACAGCTTTTAGTTTAAATGATCAGATTGCCTGAAGTTTGGTGTCTGTACTTAAGGCACATAAAAGTGTTGTGGGCAACGTGTTCCTGCGTAGCCTTTCATTCAAAGCATAATATTTTAAGATTGACTGAAATGTCTTTTGTCCAGAGAAATGTAATATAGGCCTTATCTTATCCTGTAACTGTATCTCAGTTACAGGTTAGTTATGGCACTAAAATGAAACCATTTCTCACATTGCTTTTTATTCCAGATTGACAGGAGCAGAGAATGAAGATCAGGCTTTCTGGACAAATGACCAAACTCTTGAGCGGTGTACTTCAAAACTGTATTTTCACATGAGTTTTTTTATTGTCGTCTTATTATTTGTAATTGGATTATGCTAGAGGTATTAGCATCAGCCAGATTTCTAACTTCAGCCATTTCATTCAAAAAGCAATGCAGGAATTGATTTATACAGTGAAGCTGCAGCACGTTTTCTTCTTGGATTAGTAGGAGAAGGGAATTCAATTTCACACACTCTTAGTCATTTTGTGTCAGGTCTTATGTAAGCTTTGTGATGGTGCGAAGAAGTATAGAATGATGCATCCTTTCTCGTAGGTATAGATATCTTCATATAGACTTCTCCATGGAAGTAATTGTCCCACGTTACAGCTCCGTGTTTCTAGGGTCCTAAACTCTGCTTTTGCTTTCTGAAATGAGGTAGTCTGAAATACCATGTGAAAATATGTATTTTTAAATGTATCTGTAAATATTTTGACAAGATGAATGTGTTCTTTAATACATGATTAGGCCTATCAGATGAAGGTGTTGCTTTGGCATAAAACAATTTTGGGGTGTTCTCATTTATTAATTTATTAACAGTTAACTATGGCTTCTGACTTCATTATCAAAATTTGTCTACAATTTCAGAATAGCAAACTAAAGAAGAATTCATAAGCTTTAAAAATTACTGAAGACAAAAAAGATAAGTATGCAGTTTTTCTTTAAGTGGGATACTGGAAAACCTCCAGTCAGAGTTGTGGAGTACAGTGTCTCTGTGAATTGCTTCCTAAAACCTCACATTTCTCACAAGTGTTCAAAGGTTGCCTTATCACAAGGGGAAGATGGCAGCAATGCAGCTGCAAGAGTGTGCACTGTAACTCAGGAATTGAACTTTGTGTATTAATTTGATTTATACATGGCCAGAGTATTTATCTGAATTAGGATTAGAGTTTATGAAAAGCTATTTAAAATATTGATTTATAACTTTTCTTTTTTTTTGCAAAGGGTACTGCCCGCAGAAAGAAGAAGGTTGTCCACAGAACAGCCACAGCAGATGATAAGAAACTTCAGTTTTCTTTAAAGAAACTTGGAGTCAACAATATTTCTGGCATTGAAGAGGTAACTGTTTCAAAGGAGGAAGTACTCTTCTATATAGATGTGTAAAATATATCAGCATTAGAGTTCTGGTAGATGATGTTTTGAACTTGTCCGTAAATGAGTAAGTCTTCATCAAGCTTTAGGAACTACAGTTGGTTTCCTGCTAAATAAAAAAAAATTGTGCTAAACTACATGAATTATTTATTATCTTGCAGGTAAATATGTTTACCAACCAAGGAACAGTTATTCACTTCAATAACCCTAAAGTTCAGGCATCTCTGGCTGCTAACACTTTCACTATCACTGGCCATGCTGAAACAAAGCAGCTGACAGAAATGCTTCCTAGTATCTTAAATCAGCTTGGAGCTGACAGTCTGACCAGCCTGAGGAGATTGGCAGAAGCCTTACCCAAGCAACGTAAGTTGAAACTTTAATGCATTTGGTGCTGGCAGCTAACGTGGACTTATTTGTATAGATAGCTGCAGTGAAGTTCAGTGCACTCTGTCTGCAGGCGTATTATGGCAAAAAGACATAAAGCTCTGAGGTCTTATTTATAGGTCAATTCCAGCAAAGAGCATAACCAAAATAAAGCAGAGTCATAGCTGGTCTAGGACTAGGGTGTTGTAGCCTGACTTGATTTTATGATGGTTTACTTCTATGCATGGCTACCATATTTTCACATACATAGTTCTTTAAAGTCAGATAGATCATTGGAAAGAGTTAGGATTTAAACAGATAAACTTCAGGTGTTTATTTTGACAAATAGAATGGAAACATAAATATGGGGGTGTGGGGTGGAGAGACTCAGGTTCAGGTATCTTGCTACTGCTTTGCACCCTCAAGAATGTGGTGAGGATACTTTTTGCATGGGCTTTTTAGTTGGTAAGGGGAAATTACACACTGCTTGGAATTTGTAATTTCCCTCTAATTCCTGAGTATATAGGAGGATGTAGAACTGGTATGAACATTAAATTTCATATACCAACTTCCTTCTCTATCTTTAAATTAGTGAAAAAGGCTAAGCGCTTGTTCTTATGAAATTGTGCATTAGTAGAAGAGGGACTTTGGTATTTGGAAAAGATATGAAAATTTTTAGGCTTGAAAGTTTGAAAATTCTTAGGGAAAAACAAGCTTGTTGACTCAGAATGTTCTTCATTTTCTGCTTGTATGGTCTTCTTGCTTCTCAAACAAGAATGTTAATTCCATTGCTTACAAAGTAGAGAACATGCTGAAGGGAGGAAATGAAGAAAGCTTATAATGTGTGCAATTTCAGGCAGTAGTGAACTTGCGTTTCTTCTTTCTGTGCTTTGCCGCAAGGAAAGAGAGGTTGTCTTTGCATTCATCAGGCCAATTTCCCAGACAAAAAATCCTATGCATAATGCTATGACTAGTTTTTGGGAGGAAGCAAACTGCTTATTTCCCTGTGGAGCTCAATTTCCTTCTTCCTAACATGATTTTTATCTTCTGTCTGATAGTGGTAGGGCTTAGAAAAAGGAAAGCTTGAAGCTTGAGTCTCATAACGAGATGGATTTATTCTGGATAAGCTAAACTGCACAGTTCTAATACTAGAGAAGCCTGTTTTTAAAGTGCTTGCTTTGCATGACTTGTTAAATGGTTGTTTCTGCTTTGGGTGAGTGCCAAAGTAGTTGCACAAAACTAGGTTTTGGTCTTGTCTACAAGTTTGGAAACCTAACATCAAAGAGCAAAGTGTCTGCAATGACTGCATTTGCAGGTGTTGAATTTAGTCTGGTCTCAGAGTTGAGTGAATATGAAGACAATTTAGGAGAAAATAGTATGGTTTGCATTTAAAATGTATTTAACACTTGAGATGCTCTCAAGCTGTATCAGCTTTCTGCTGTTAAAAACAAAAGAATTAGCATTGCCCTTGTCACAGGATATTTCTGACCAAATTTCAAGTACTCATCTGAGTATCTCTGGATATCAGTGTAAAGTGATTTCAGGCATGTGGTGTAAATATCTTTTTCTTCATGCTTTTCTTGAAATCAGAAGGATTAATTAGAATAAATGAAGGTATTAAAAAGTTTTGTGCAGCTTAACCTAGGTAATACAGCCAAGAATAGCAGTAAAAGTAGTGGCACAGGCACCTAGGGACCTTTGGTACCTATTCTTAGCATTATCACAATGTGGGGGTTGGAAGAGACCTCTGGAGTTCACCTAATTCAACCCCCAGCTAAAGAAGGTTCCCTAGTATGTTGCACAGGAAACTATCTGGACAGATTTCTAATATCTCTGGAGAAGGAGACTTTGCAACATCTGGGCAGCTTGTTCCAGTACTACTGCAGTTTCACGTATGCTTGCTGATCTTTGGAGATGAGCATGGTTAAATCACAGTAGCTCTAGCAAATATAACAGAGGTGAAGTCTGTATCAGTAGAGATGTGGGCTGGAACACTGTTACTTTGACCTGTTAGGTGTAAAATTGTGCATCTGGTTCACTGTTCCTCTGAATTCTTCAGAGAACAGCAGTATCGTTTAATGTCTCTAATTGTCTGCTCAGTGTTCCACAGGTGTGCTATATTTTTTTTTTCTTGAATGTCTAGGATCATAAGGATTCAGATATTTTTTTCCTTGTAAGTTAATGATGCTTTGAAAAAGATGAACTTTGAGAGCCACAGATTACTCTCTAAACAGAGATACTTTCAAGAGAAACTGGCAGAACACTGCTATCATGCAAAGCACGCGATATCTAGATGCAAGATATTGACCAGTAAACTTTATATAGTCTGTGGGCAATGGGAACTGCTTGGCTAGTTTCAGATTTTTTATTTGGCAGGAAAGTTTTGCAGAGTGCTGCAGCTTAGCTTGGACTCTTAGATAATGCTTACCAAAAAAAAAAAAAGCACAAATTTATCAAAGTACCTGTGGTGAGCTGAAATAATGCTTTTGAACTACTTGCTTTTGTAGCTGTGGATGGAAAAGCACCTCTTGCTACCGGTGAAGATGATGATGATGAAGTTCCAGGTAAGAAAAAACATGAAATCTGAGAAAGAGGAATTGAATTTTGCTTCAAGATGGTATATGTAGCATAACATTTGGCCAAGGAGAGTGAGATTCCTTGTCCTAGACTGGTCATTGACTGTTGCACAATTGCTACAGGCAAATTATTTCGTTGTTTTTCAGATTCCATGTTAGATTAATTGAATAATTGGTTTGAAATAGCTGTTACTCTTAGGACAAACATGATACGGCTAGGATCACTGTTTAATCCTCAGTAGAAGGGCTGGGAAGAAACTGCATTTTCAGTATCAGTTTGCTTAGGTATGGTTATAGGAAAGCTGAATTATGTTAGAATTCTGGTTTATAATGAACCACCTGAAACTTATTTCTTTAAACAAGGAAGGTGAATTCTGAAAGCTCTTACAAGTTATTCAGTCTGTCTTTCATAAGGCTTTTTTTTTTTTAATGTCTTAAGCACTTGGTATGAAGAACTTCAGAAAAATATATTTGGCAAAGCAGAAGTAGGTCCAATTCACATTTCAACGTCTTTCTTTTTCTAGATCTTGTTGAAAACTTTGATGAAGCTTCAAAGAACGAAGCAAACTGAAATAAATGTCACTTTCTGAATAAACTTAAAACTTGAAAAAGCTACGTGGAGCTGCTATTTTATATTGCGACTGCTTTTTTTTTTCTTCTGAGATCTTGGGATCTCTAAAATTTGGAAATTCCTTGAACCTGCAGCTCCTTCTAGTTATTGCTTGTACACTATATTGTTTTTGTGGCCTGGTTGAACAAACCTCTGCTTTGAAATATGATTGCTAATAAATTTCTTCCTAGACACAATTTTTGAGTAACTTGTATACAAGCAAAACCATATCTTTAATGAACTTTGACATACAATAAAAAATATATATAGTAAAGTTTTTGGTGTGGCTTTTTGTCAGAAAAATCAGAAAAAATATTGGTTGTAAGTATTAAACAGTTGTAAGAAGTCTTGCTCTTCTGCAGAGCATTTTCCTTTTGCAGCAACACAAAACTGGCTTTGAGAAAAATAATTCTCTGCACAAGTGAGCCTTTTGGGTTTAAAGTGTGAATCTCCAGTGTTTACATCTCAGAGTACATGCACTGAGTTTCACTTGCGTAATAATCTACTGTATTTAAGAACTGTATATAGTCTTGAAACACTTCCTGGTGTTTTAGTATAGTGGCAAACTGTTAACATTGGCATCTTGCAGGTACTCAGATTCTATGCTTTGTCTTCAGGGAGTATTTAACAGGTTTTTTCAGAGTACAGCTACCTAACGATGCTCATACGTTACTGTCTCTGCGTTGCAGTTTAACCTGGCAGGCAGCTAAACACCATGCAGCTGTTTGTACCCTCCCATGGTAGGATTGGATAAAGGTAAAATCTGTGGGCTTAGTTAAGACTGTCCTAAGACAGGTTCTTATGACAGGAAAGGGAGAGGGGAAAAATGGAATGTGTATGTATATAAAAACATGAAATCTGTCGCGCATTTGCTTACCCCCTAGCCAGATGCTTCCTCTCCTCACTCTGACTAACTCCTGCAGTTTTGTTATTCCACAGCATACTGCATCGGTAGTATGTAATACTCTTTGACCAGTTTAGGTCATCTGTCCTGGTTCTGTCTGTTCCAGGCTCCTTGTGTCCCAGCCCCTTGCAAGCAGGGCTGTGTGAGAAACTGAAAAGTTGGCTTTTGTGAGAACTACTCAGTAACAATTAAAACTTTGGTGTGTTAATTACTTTTATTCTAAATTCAAAACAGAGCACCATATCAGCTGCTGAGACAATTACACTAGCCAAGAAGGACACATAGTATTTTCATTTTACTTGTTTATGCAAGTCAGTCACTAGGGGTGTGAGATACTGGAAGGAGCAAAAAGGCTTTAGAGAATTGATTATCATTCTTAAGTTTATGTTTAGCAAGTGATGTTTGGGGTATATTCTATGTTGTTAGACTAATAAAGATGTTTGGGATATGTTCTTTACATTGCTTTTGTGTGTTTGAGAGAAAGAGAACTGGTTTCTTGGATATAAGGAAAACTTCTCAAGTTCCAGTGTAATTTTTGTCCATCTGGGGCTCCAAGAGTAAGCTATTTAGATCTGGGAGTCTTTGCTGCTGATTATAGGTCAGATAACTTCAGTTTTATTATGGAAGCTTGTATGGAGGGCTGGTGGTTGAGTGCTCTTATGAGGTTGTCTCTTTAGTGCAAATACAGCTGAAGTGAGAGTTCATCCTGTCCTGTGAAGGATAAAATCCAGGGCAAAACTTTGGACAGGAGATAACCATAATATGAGGTTTGCATTGTACCCAGGGAAGGGCGGGGATGTGTCTGACCTGCTAGGCATGTTTGATATGATGTAAGTGAGCTATTGGGAAAGAGTGAAGGAACTTGTTCCAAGCCAGGCAGCTCCTGTGATTCCAAGTTGGATGTGAGTGTAACATCACTGAGGTCAGGTGGAAGAATTTACAGTAACAATTTCAGTTTACTTGTCTCAGTTTGCAAGTTCTTTATCAGTAAACTTTTTTTTTTGTTTGTTTCAAATTAATTCAAGTAAGAAGCACACCTTTGAATTAATTTGACAAGAAGATGGAAAAACTAAACTATGCAAATGAGTGTTGAAATGGGTGTGGTGACCATAACCTAACAGCCGCACAAAAGATGAAAGACTGTTTGTGTTGGTGGTGATGATGGTTGTTTTTGAGAAATCAGTAAATGAGTCTTGTCTGTAACTCAGAAATAATCTATTGAACCACTGCAGCCCATGATTCTGAAATATTTCATACCGAGTCCTGTCTTGTGCAGTAACTTAGTGGCTTGTTCTGATATTCTAGACTGTGTTACCCTTTTTCCTACTATCTGATACACATGGTTTAAAAAAAAATAACAAAAAAACACAGAGCTTGGTGAAACAACAACTTTGACATGCAAAACAATATAAATCAGGTGATAGGCAGTTAATGATGCATCTGTGGAAGGTACATTTCCAGCCAGGAAATACTGGTGTATCTTGAGCATTCCTAGGTTGTGAACAAGGATCAGAATTTGTTCAGAGTATGTTCTTGGTTATAGAAGATTCTAAGTGGAATTCATTCTTTTCTTAATAGCAGTCTTTGTTTCTAACACTTAAATACCCTGCTTTGTACGGCACTGTCATTATTTCAGCAGGAACTTTGGTTAAAGTCTTCCTCATCTGTCATTAATTGCCTTTAGGGATTCATGTATATTCTTTCTCAAGAAAAACAGCTTCATATTGCTTTTCCAAGTATTTTGGACAACAGAAATGCAGGCCTCTGGTTTTGGGTCACTGTTGAAAATGCACAAATTATAGTACAGAAAACTATTACTCCACAGGAGAAAGAGAGTTTATGTAATACGGTACTGTGTTCCTAGAATCTGTCTCTTTTTTGAGACAGACTTCACAGGTATGGTTTGTACATTTCCTCTACATTGCAGTAAAGGTAACTTGGCAATGATAAGCTATTCTAACAAAAAACAGGGATTAGTAATGCCTTTGCAGGAGGGTTACAACCCAGCCTTTTGCGTTACTAGTGGATCTGAAAAAATCATACAATTAGCAGTGTAAGCACTAAGCAGTAATCGCCAATCATGCGACGCACAGTGCCTTTGCTTCACATATCCGGTAACTAATATCTGCAACATTTTTCTTACTCAGGGATTTTCTGTGCTGTGGAAAGTACTAACAGACAGTGGTGGAAATATCTGCTGCACTTGAATCCCCAATTCTGCATTTCTGTTGATTCAAGTATGAGTAATGTTGTGGGGTTTCTTAGGTATCGGTTCTGTGAGTTCTTAGGAGACGCCTGAAGTTGAGTTTTATTTTCTCTGGCAGAACCATGCAGTTGTTCATGGTGCTGCACCTGAGCTAACGTCTGGTGGGCTCAAGGGGGAATCTGAACAATTTCAGCTATGTCTGACTGAGCAGAGTCCTGCTGAAAAAGCGGCACGCAACTTGTGACAAATGTTTGCACCTGCTTTTCTTAGTGCTTTTAAATGCAGAAATTCAAATTGTTTGAAGTCATGGATTTAAGTCCAGCTCCAGGAACTGTGGCTAGTGCTGCTATACTTCTTTCCTATTACTTCCATCAGGCAGTTGTAAAGGCCGGAAACTCTCTCAGCATTTTGTTGGCTGCTGGTTTGCACTGAGCTCCTTTTTAATACATACAGGTAAGACTGTCACCTTTAAGAACATAACTGAGGTCCAGGAGGGCGTCATGCACTCCTAGCAGCTTGGATCTCTGTGAGACAAAGGTAATGTGAGTGTGGTGATGTGGGCCCAAGGCAGTGTTAGCTCTGTGAAATTAGCATCTTGTCTTGGCTGTGGTGGGATTATGTGCTTGTTCAGTGCACTTGGCAGTCACTGTACAGTGGTGCTGGCAGTACGTGTGATGAATGAAGATCTTCCTTGTGTGTTGAATTAAAATCTGCCTTCTATCTCAGGTGTTACTGCCTCTACAGGAATTAAAAGCAGTGATGCCTCCTCAGAGCCACTTCTGTGAGTGGGTGGGAACTGTTTTTACAAGATGTATTACAGTCAGTGACATTTTAATCACTTCTTACCAGTTGTGCTGTTTTCTTTCTTCCTTTGTTTCCATCTGTAGAGATCAGTCCTTTGACATTTTGTTCTGGGATTCCTCAGCCCCTGCTCGGTTTGAGTCTTACTTAAAAATGTGGTGAGAGACAGCGTCTGGTTCTGCAAAGGCGGTGTGAGTGCAAGGACTGTGCTAAGTCAAAAATGAGAAGAAATGAGAACTACACAGCTGTGGGAGTAGAGTGGCAGGCACATCGGTTTGAGGTGTCTGTTACAAGTTTCTGTCCCTGGGACAGCTGGCATCCAGAGCAGCAGGAAGCAATTAATGTGAAAATTCATTTGCCCCTATGGATGCATTGCACCACTTGTGTTAGCAATCAGGCGATGGTGCAGATCTCTGTGATTTAGGGAAGTTCCTGGGTAGAGGGAACAGCCAGCTGGGTAGAGCACAGCCAGCTCATGCACCCAGTGTTAGCCTTCAGCGTATGTTGAGGGCAGCGTTTGGATAAACAATACTCATGCACATTTGCAGCATTTCATGCTCCAGTAATTTCTGCCTGTGGGTGATGATCGTCAAGAATTTTATTATTTTTACTGTTGATAGAAGTCAGAGTGTAGCCTGGAGGTTTTAGGGCTCACTGAGTCATCCTCTTCTACCGGCATACAAAATCCACGTTTGCTGAGGTACAGCCCTGCATGCATCCCCACTCGCATCCAAACTGACCTCTGTCAGCAGCTTCAGAATGGATGGGATGTCATCGAAATGTGTCAGCCTTCTCATGTTCACAGAACAGGCCTTCTACTGCTACGTTATATGCCTCTCACATTTTAGCATGTTTTAAATATTTGTACCTAGAAAAGAAAGCACTGTCATTTGTTTCAAAGCATGCAGTTGTTTTTACCTTGCTTTTCGTTTATGTTCCGTCTCTGTGGCTCTCTGGTCCAATTAGAAAATGCAGTGTGTTTGACAGACTGTATCAGCAGGCTCTAAGTTTAACTCCAAGGGGAATTTGAGCCTCCAAAATATAACTACTAATGTAGAGAAACACATGTCTTTTAAGTGAGTATGCAAACAGAGTGCTTCTAAACAAAATCCTTTTTGGAAACAGTGGCAATATTGCTAGCCCTATGATCTTACCCAGTATTCATGATAGATGTTGTAACACAGATAGAGGAAAGTGAAGCAAGCTGATTTTATTATGTATTTTTGGAAGCAACTGTTTTTTGAATCTGTAGGTTATAATGCTGAAGACAATCTAGGTGCATCCAGATGGAACAAATTCAGGGTGCAGGTATTTATAGGGTTTAGCCAGACCTTCCCATTTTCAGCTGTTCTAGAAGCCTGAC